CCCCTCCCCAGACCAGCACTCCCTCCTCAGCCCCCGCAACCCCTCCCCATCCCGGCACCCCTTCCCCATCCCAGCACCCTCCTCCCAAACCCCTGCACCCCCTCCCCAGCCTGGTACCCCTTTCCCCATCACTGCACCCCCTCCCCAGCCCGGCACCCCCGCACAGGAGGCGAGAGGCAGCTGGGCGGTGCGTGGGGTCCCGGCTCCATCTGCTGGCACGGCGGGGCGGCCGGGTGCTGTAGAGCATCCCCTGGTATGGAAAGAGCAGAAATCCCCCCAAAAAGGAAAAGGGGCGGCTGGGAAGGGCCAGGCCATCGCAGGGTGGCTCCATCCCTCCCGGGACCCCCTTAGAGATTCCTGTTTCCCGGTTGCTTCAACAGGACCAATGGTTTTCTCAGCGCACGGCGTGGACAGATGGAAACCTGCTGTCTGGGAGAAGGGGATTTCAAAGCACCCACTATTCCTGTTTGGGCTCTGCTTGCAATTTTCGATGGGGATGTCTCGCAGCATGAAATCCCCCAGCGAGCTATGTCGCAGGGGCCCAGACCACCCATAGGACTGTCCATCACAAAAGCCACAACAAATGGTGAAAAAAAAAAAGGCCACGAAGACCAGATGCACCCTTGCCTTTCGGTGTTGGTGCAGCCTGGACAGCGGGAAGGTAACCGCACGCGGGCTGGTACAGGAGAGCTCGCCTGTGCCCACTGTGTGCCCCCACACTTCAGTGCCGCCCGTCCTGGCCATGCTCTGTTACCCCCGGGGGGGTCAGGGCCTTCCTCTTACCTGCGAGCCACGGGGAGCTCAAATACCAAAGCCTCCCAATACATGAAAAACAGTTACAACATTCAATTACAAACCCCCATGACTTCAGCCCAGGAAAGAGCTCCTGGGAAGGGCTGGACTCCGCCATGAAAATCATGCAGGAAGAAATAAAACAGACGACTGTTTATTAAAATATACCCTCTCTGTCCTTTTCTCAGAGCCCGATTACACCCCACTCTGTGCAGGCTCCCGCTTTCACAGCAGCACTTTGGAGTCCTCCCCACAGCTATCGGTGCCCGGCAGCCCCGGTGCAAGAGAGCTGCCAGCGGGCAAGGTGCTGGCCTGGGTCCACGCTGAGCCCTCGCTGGCCACCCCGTCGGGCAGCAGCGGGACGTACGCCTCCTCCGCAGGGCCACCGAGCTGCTCCTCCAGGACGTACCTCGTCCCCCATTGTTCGTTGTGGTGGACATCCACGGCCACCAGCGCCGCCTCCGCTCCGGGAGAGCAGGGCTCAGCAATGTCCCCGGGGTCCAAATCAGAGTCCGCTTGGGGGAAGCCTGAATCCTGCGTGGAGTCTGGGCTCTCCTCGGGCAGGCTGGTGTTGATGTAGATGATGTCCCCGGATCCCCTGACGGCAGGCAGGTTTTCCAGCAGCTTCTCCAGATGGACCTTCAGCTGCGAGAACGTCGGCCGGGCGGCGGGGTCGGCTCTCCAGCACGCAGACATTATTTCATACCTGGAAATCGGGAGAGGAGCGTGGCTATCACAGAGGATCTTCCCAGGCACTGGGCTATGGGACGTACAGGGGCTAATTCCCCACTTCCCTCCAAACTGGGCAAGCCCTGAGACACTTTGCATTAAAACAAAGCAAAACCAACTCCCCTCTGCTCAGGCTGTTTGCCCAGTGGCAGGCATCGATCAGCCCAAGCTGCTGTTAGAAGTCTCTTCCAGTGCCTGGCACTCACTGAGGGCTGGGCAGAGGCAGCCAAGCTGCAGCCCTACGATCACCCCTCCCAGAACATCCCAGTTCTACTCCCAGGACATTGAGTCCTCCTTTTGTCCTTCCTGCAGGTGCCTGTTCCTAGGCTGGATGTCAGGGCATGCTGGAAACTCCCAGCGCCTCCCTGCGAGCACCTCTGGGTTCACACCGTCTCCTCTGCCCTCTCCCAGGCTGGATCCCTTAAAAGATTTCTTTGCTGTTTCCTTCAGGGACAGGGGTTGGAGAGGGGCTTTGTAGGACCATTGTGCCACTCTGAGCAGCTTTGCTAGTTTAACTGGTTTTGTATTTGCAGCTCTTAGCCATGGAGGAGTTAGACATTTTCAGCTGGAATGGCACCAGAGAAAAACTCAGGAAGAAAACTCCAGAGAAAAACCCTTGCTAAGCTGCTCAGAAATGCAGTTTTGAGGTTTCCACGTTTTCCCTTTCCAGATCAATAGATTTTAGGCACTGAAGGGCCCTGAGTAACAAGAGGGCATTTTGTGGGGCAGAGAAAAGCATCACCAGCCAAGACTTCCAGGCTAAAATGTACTATCTTTAAATAAATAAATAAATAAATAAATAAATAAATAAATAAAATACTAAAAAGTCTGATTGCTACACTACAAACTGCAGAGGGCACTGCTCCTGTCCTCGCAGGACCAGCGAGTTGACTTCGGCACTTCCCACCCGCCCCACACCACCGGCTGCCAACAGCGCAGCTCATCCGCCGCCTGTGCCAGCCCTGCAAACCATCGCTTTCTCCCAGGATATTCATTGGGATTTCTGGGCGCCAGTTTGCCTGGAGTTAAGAAGACACTTTTTCCTCCCTGGCTGATATGCTGCTCTGAGATCTGGCTTTTATTGGGAACGTCAAAACTCGGGAGATCATGCAAATATTAAAGGGTTTGAAGTTTTCGTTGATGTGACACTTCCATTTAAAATTTGACCCAGCCCGTTATTCTGGCCAGCTTTCCTCTAAGAGCAAACCTGCACGTGCGTTCTTGTAAGCTCCCTACCTGTCAACCCCACAAGGAAAAAAAGGTTAAATCCTTGCCTTTTTAAAAAAAAAAAAAAAAAAAAAAGCAGTCTTTAATAACTGTGTTTCTGGGGGCTGTGGGAGAAATGGAGAGGGTGAGGCAGAAGGTGACTCCCTCTCCAGTACAGACCTGTCTTACTCCACTTGGAGAAGCAGGTTTGCAGCAGGTGGGAGCACGGGAATACTGGTACGGTGTTTAATTGCGCTGCGATGCACAGCTTTGCGGGCTTTCGGCCACATTTCAGTGCTGAGCCACAAATCCACAGCACAAGCAGTTGTTGTGTCCTTAAAGAAAGGACATCAGCAACTGAGAACCACAAAGCACAAAGAGCAGCACCCCCAGAAACCACTAACCATCAGCGAAGGGCCAGCGACGCGCAGGTTGTTTGCGGGCAGACAGAGAGCAAAGGGGCTGTGCTTACAGCCCCGAGACAGGGTTACAATACTCACAGCTCATCCAAGCAGTCGTCGGGCTTTTTCAGGCGCTGCCCGTGGAAGAGGTACTCGTAGATCTCGTGGTTCTGCACTCCTGGGTAGGGCGTCATGCCTCGCGTCGCTATCTCCCACATGGTAACGCCAAATGCCCACTGCGAG